TATTATTATTATTATTATTATTATTATTATTATTATTATTACTATTACTATTACTATTAGCCTTATCATCATTATCATTATTATCATTATATTTATTATTGTTGCTATCATTATCATCATTATTATTTTTTATTTATTGGTATGGTTATTATTATTTTTATTATTTTCTGTATTATTGTTATTATAATTCTTACTATTAGTAGTCATCATTATCATTATTGTTGTTATTGTTATTGTTGTTGTTGTTATTATTATTAATAGAATTATTAGGGTTATAATAATATTATTATAATAGTATTATTATTGTTGTTATTATTATTATTATTATTATTATTATTATTATTATTATTATTTATATTATTATATTATTATTATTATTATTATTATTGTTATTATTATTATTATTATTATTATTATATTATTATTATTATTATTATTATTATTATTATTATTATTTTATTATTATTATTATTATTTTATTATTATTATTATTATTATTATTATTATTATTATTATTATTATTATTTATTATTATTATTATTATTATATTATTATTATTATTATTATTATTATTATTATTATTATTATTATTATTATTATTATTATTATTATTATTATTATTATTATTATTATTATTATTATTATTATTATTATTGTTGTTATTATTATTATTAATGTTATTATTATCAATGCTATCATTAGTAGTAATATGATTATTAATAACTTGAACATCATCATGATCATCATTATCATTATTACTAGTGTTACAATGATTGATTTTGTTGTAACTATTATTATTACTACTATTATTATTATTGTTGTTGTTTTTATAGTTATTGTTAATATTGTTATTATATTTATTGCTGTTGTTCTTGTAATAATTAACATTATTGTTGTTTTTGTTGTTATGGTTGATGTTGCTGTTATTTTTATTATCACCACCATTGTCATTATCATTTTTGTTTTTATTGTTATTATTGTAGTTGTAGTAGTTATTCTTATTACTAATACTTTTATCACTACTACTACTACTACTACTATTATTATTATTATTTTAGATTGCAGGAGAATTATGCATTTGTATTCATGATATGGATTTAATGATGGCCATAACTTTTAGGTCTCTACTCCAAAGGGCAATAGATAGAGCCAGAAAAACTTACTGGAATTGAAAACTTGGTACGGTAGCATACTGTTATTACGTTTCCTTCCTACAAACATATGGAATAGTTTTGTCTATCAAAAGGAGGCCTAAAATCTCAGACGCAGTGAGGGAGCAGTGGTAATGGCATATATAATGTGCTTGTGCCGTTTTTTGTGATGTGTACTTTCTGTCACGATAGCTCAGCGTCTTTTTTTATTAGGCTTGGATTCTCAATACGGTCCATGATTATTGCACACAAGGGACCAGATTGAATTCCACATGGCTTTGATAAGTGTCTTATTTTGAGCGTGGCCAGTATGTTTTTATGTTTTTATTAATGGATTGTAGATTCTGTTTGCTGCAAGGTTAAAAAAAAAAAAAAATTATGAAGTGAAATTGCATGATCAGTTAGAAGACATGGAAGTCCATATAGTGACACTACGGGATATGAAGAAACAGAAAATATTATCTATATTTTATTTTAGTTAGTGATGTGCAGTAGGTGTTTCTAGTTTATGCTGTAAGTTGATTCAAGGAGAGAAGAGTCCTGGGATTTTCTTAATGCGATATATGTATATGGTATTTCCATATTACTCAAAACTGTCAGAAAATGAATATAGATATGTTTGCCTTTATTTTACAAAATAATAGAGATAAAACCATATGTAGTTATCCTGATGTATGACTTAAAACATTATTATTATTTTTTTTTTTTTCAGGACTATGCTTCCTCCTCATCCCCAGCTTCTTGAGTGTAGACCTGCGCCTCTCACACAATCTGGCTGCCAGACTACTATCTTAAGAAGATATACTACATCATCTGACAACTTGTCTTGGCTTCTCTTGTGCTATATTTGATAACATGTTCAACTCTGAAAAAAAGAGATTATTTTCTATATATTTGTATGACTGGTATTGATGTACAGCTTTACTTCTGTAAACTTAGTTTTCCATTTTGTTTTGTTTTCAACAAAAGGGTTTTCCCTTCTTTATTGATTTTGATATTTACAAATTGACTTGCTTTGTGCTGAGTTTGCTCAGCCTTTTTTGGCTACTCATTAGTGGGTACATAAGCTATGATGATGACATGACATTTTCCATTCTTCTCTGCCTTCGTTAGGAATTTGCAATCTTTATTTTCCCTCATTTTTCCCTCACAAGATAGTGATATTGTAAATATGCATATAGGTGTATGATATGCATACATGGTTCAGATAACTAAAGAATCACTCAGACCCTCATTGTTGCGTAATTTTTAAAGTGAAAACTTTCAATATCACCAAGATGATTGCTCAAGTAGTGTCTTGTCTTTGTACATCTCCTATCATCTTGCTAGTGGTGGTGCTGTCACTTGCT